GTGAAATCCCGGGCTGCCAGCGAGAAATATCCGATGGAGCGCCCCGAAATTTTGAAATAATTTCATGCAAGATATATATCAAACAATTACCGCCTCTGAACCTGTGTGTTGTCTATCGGCCTCCCAGCTCGAATGAAATCGCCGATATTGAATTACTTAGTGCACTGGAATTGTTATGTAAGCAGGGGAACTTACCACTTCAGGAAGAGACTGGAACATTCCCCTAACAAACACTCCGTCCACGTCATTTGACCACAAGCTACTACAACTCTCCCTGAATGAATACATAATTCAACACATAAAATTCGGAACGAGACTGAGATAAGGACAACGATCAAACTGTTTAGATCTTGTTTTCATTAAAGAAGAAGGAGTCATAAGGGAATTGAATCCACAGCCTCCACTCGGTTTAAACGATCATATTGCTTTTACCTGCATGTGCTCTCCCCTATTGAACCAACGACCAAAAATCAAGAGACGCAGAAATATTTGGAACGGTAACTTTAACGCAAAGAGACGTACTCTTTTGGAGAAAACCTGGTTATTCAACACGGAAGATTCAGAAGAATGCTGGCAGTACTTTCGCGGGATTATAGAGCGTCTAATTGACACCCATTAACCAATGAAAATAACAAGACCATGGGCGCGACCGCCGTGGGTCAATCCGACGACGAAAAAGACCATGAAGAAGAAACAGAGACTGGGGAAAATGTATTTGCAACTTCGAGATCCAAGGTCATTCGCCGAATATAAGGATCAGCGCAATAAATGCCGCAAACAAATACGGGTTGCTAAAACGTCTTTCGAGCGCCGACTGATAGCAGAATCCATTACATGTCCCAAGAAGTTTTATGGGTACATCCGCAGTAGGAGGAAACATAGGGACAAAATTGCATGGCTAAAGGATAGCGTCGGAAACTTATTAATGGAAAAGCCACAGAAAGTGTGATTACTGTCTCAGTTTTTTCAATCGGTTTTTACGGGGGAGTCCTCAGAAGACAATCAGCAGTTTGAAATGGACCGAGACAACCGGGAGCTTCAAATACGCTAAGATACTGCCGTCATTGAAACCGTCGCCTTTTCCGTCGAAGAAGTAAAACGCGTCCTAAGTCAAATAAAACCTCTTAATTCTCCCAGACCCGACGGAATTCTCGGACTGATACTTAAGGGGCTATCAACGGAGCTGTCAAGGCCTCTTTCGACTCTCTTTGAGCTGCCAATGAGAACAGGAAGGCTGCCCTCACAGTGGAAGACAGCTAACCTCATTCCATTGCATAAGGGAGGTAGCAGGATGATAACAAGCAGCCTCAGGCCTATTAGCTTAACTTACCTCCCATGCAAAACGATGGAAGCTCTAGTCAAGAGCGCTATGCAGCAGTTTTGTGAACAAAATAACATCTTGCAGGATTTTCAACATGGCTTCCGGAGAGGACGTTCCTGCCTCTCAAATCTACTAGGTTTTCTGGGGATATGGACCTGCGCTCTAGAAGAGACTTTTTAGGTTGATATCGTGTACAGCGATTTCCGCAAAGCTTTCGACACTGTTCCGCACCAACACCTTCTTCATAAATCGAGCGTCATAGGCATCCGGAGAGATCTTCTGAACTGGATAAAGGCGTTTCTGTTTGGCCGGAGACAACGAGTCTGTATCGGAGATGATATGTCAGAATGGGTGGACGTGACCAGTGGCGGGCCTCAAGGCTCAGTTCTCGGACCATTGCTCTTTATCCTTTACGTTAATGACAGCCTTCAAGAACTCGACTGCGGCAAAATAATGTTTGCACACAAAGTTAAGGTCTGACAAAACATTAAATGTCCGAATGATCAGAGATCCCTTCAAGATAATCTGCACCGACTGCAAGCATGGTTGGATAAATGGCTTCTAGATTTCAATGTGGAGAATTGTGCCGTCCTTCATCTGCATCCAACCAACTCTCATTCAAATGAGAGCCTGAGGACGTATCACCTGAAAGATATAAGGCTCCCCGCAGAATCTTCACAGAAGGATCTCGGAGTTTGGATACAGAATAACCTGAAGCCAATACTGCAGTGCCTCAAGGCTGCAAAAAAACGCCATGGGAGTGCTGCATGCAATAAAAAGGGCTTTCGTAAACTTTATGGGAGAGTTTACGGCACTTTTGCTGGGCCCCACTAAGAATATAACATACAAGCATGGAGGCCATGGCTAGTAAAGGACCAAGCATGCTCGAACGGGTACAGCGTCGTGCAACAAAGCAGGCAAACGGTCTAAAAAGTCAATCCTATACAGACAGACCGAATTGCCTTAATTTATTCCCTCTGTGTCACAGGCAACAAAGAGGTGATCTCATCCTCGTTTACAAGATGATACATGGCCTTGAGAATGGACTTAACTTTAAGGACATGTTTCAATGGCACATTTCACCCTATCTTCGTGGTCACTCGATGAAGTTACGGACAACAATGTCGAGTCTGAATCTTCGTTCTGAATTTTTTACGCAGAGGGTAGTGGAGAAATGGAATGATCTCCCTCAGTCAGTCGTGGAAGTTACGTCTCTGCAACTCCTCAAGAAACGCTTGGATAATTATTTGTGTACCCCGTTTTTCCTCGACAGTCTGAACCTGAACTAATCCCCCACGACCCCGCAAACAGTTTATCTGAGACAATGCTACTCAAATGAATCCAGCACTGTTTTAATGGTGATTATTTTTTATTGTTAATGTACAGTTATTTCTAACGATTTGGCATGTAATCAATAGGGTTTTCAAAGGCTTTGCCTATTATCCTTACCAAATAAAATGAAATAAACTGATTACACAGTCGTAATTCATACAGAGGGACCAGATGTCATTGGTGAGAATAATGTTTAGTTTGTTGTTTACCTGAGAGCAATTGGCCTTAAGTGGGGGGAAGCCTGAACTAGGTTGGGGCATAAATGATTTAGGGCAATTCATGTATGAATTATTTGCTGGATATATAGTAGGGCTTTGATAAGTAACCGGTACGCAGGACAGAGAATTATTCGGGGAGATAATTGGAGCTGCGGGGTTTGTAGACGTGCTGGGCTGTAAAGGCTTGGTATATCTAAGAGAAGGTGGCGTACCCCTAAATGGAAATGTTCTTCCTTTCTTTTGGATCGGAGTCTGATTCAGTTTTGTAGTCTCACCGCTCTGACGCCAAGCCACGGGTGACTTAACTGCAGAGTTTGCAGCACCCTGATGAACAGGAGAAGTTATCGATCTAGCTGATGTAGACGGATTTAATGCATCCCAGCGGGGCTATTCGGAGGATAAGGAACGACAAGTGGGGCTGTTGCTGCTGGTAGTTTAATGGCAGGTAAATGCGTCAAGTGCCCTGAGTGAGATGGAGATGCAGGCGTAAAGGGAAGGAGTGAGGCAGATTTCGCAAGAGTAGGACCAGCTGAATCCTCACGGCCACTTGTATTATGACCGAGTTTATGAGCATTAGACTGAGAAGCAGTAGGTTTATGTGAGAATAGAGACCCGATTCTACGCTCCATAGGAGTAAGATCGTGACAAAGGAAAAATTTTGCATTTTCCAGGTAAGCAATGACACGATCTTGATGGAGATTGTGTAAACCTCGACTGATGAAAATAATCTGACTAAGACGGGTGGATTTTTGCTACGGGAGGGCAAGCGTCTAGCATCGGTTAATTTGTAGTGGAAACAACACGGATACAGGAAATTGGTTGCAACAGCAATTGGCCGAGCAGATCGAGGAACATTTTTTAACAAAAAGTTGTAAGCACGCCTTTGTCTATCATTAGGTTCACCGGCGTTCAGGGGAACGAGTTAGTCAAGACGCCTACATTCTTCAGCGGGAACACATGCACTCAACGAATACAAGCAAAACCCAGCATAAGCAATACCATACTTTCCGGCAATCAAACAATACCCTCCGTTTAACACATTACATAATCAGGATATTTTTTCACCATAGCTTGCCTCTAGCACACCAAACATCCTAAGTATCGCTGTTATTAATGAAAGATCGATGGTCTTAATATAACCAGAATTAGGACTTTTGTGAAAGTCTTTAATCCCGAAATAATTTGCATAAGTGAGATATGGGTGGATGAATCAACATCAACTGCTTGGTTTGATCTAACAAATTTTAATTTATATCAACAGGACGGCGTTAATAAACGAGGCGAAGGCTCTCTGATCTACACCAAAGCAACCTTGAACAAAGTGATATAGATGTTCCAAACGAAACCTTTGCTGGAAAATCGTGTCTGCCACAAGCCCATTTCAACCCCAATAAAACATACTTATCGGATGTCTCTTCTCCTTTCCGGAATATTCGTATGATGACATGGCCTAAACCATCTAGCATGCAATATATTTGAGAAGAGCTAGATGCGATTGTTTGGACAAAAGCTCCGTCCTTCACAGTGTCCCCTGGGAGCTGAAGAAGGAAAATATTACTATTTATTTGCCCTATACTTTGGATGCACGCACGAACTCCTATATACTCCCATATAGGGATGGTCCTGTCCCATACGCGTGTTTACCTTCCAATGAGCGGCGTTCATCTCTCTCTCCTTATAAATTAGTTAAATCACACTCTTTGTATTT